CATGGGGTTCCACTCTCCATTATATCAGATAGAGGTACGCAGTTTACTTCTAAGTTTTGGAAAACATTGCATGCGGAATTGGGTACTAGGTTGGACCTTAGTACTGCGTTCCATCCTAAGACCGATGGTCAGTCTGAGCGAACGATTCAAGTGTTAGAGGATATGCTTCGTGCATGTGTGATAGAATTTGGTGGTCAGTGGGATAGCTTCTTACCCTTAGCAGAGTTCTCCTACAACAATAGCTATCGCTCAAGCATTGATATGGCCCCATTTGAGGTACTATATGGAAGAAGATGTAGGTCTCCCATTGGGTGGTTTGATGCATTTGAGGTTAGACCTTGGGGTACGGACCTTCAGAGAGAATCGTTAGATAAAGTGAAATCTATTCAAGAAAAGCTTCTAGCGGCGCAAAGTAGACAGAAGGAGTATGCAGATCGGAAGGTTAGAGACTTGGAGTTTATGGAGGGTGAACAAGTCTTGTTGAAGGTTTTGCCAATGAAAGGTGTGATGCGGTTTGGTAAGCGAGGTAAATTTAGCCCAAGGTATATTGGTCCATTTGAAGTACTTAAGCGAGTAGGGGAGGTGGCTTATGAGTTAGCCTTGCCTCCAGGGCTGTCCGGAGTGCATCCGGTATTCCATGTGTCTATGTTGAAAAGATACCATGGGGATGGAAACTACATTATCCGTTCGGATTCAGTTTTGCTTGATGAGAATTTGTCTTATGAGGAGGAACATGTTGTCATTCTAGATAGAGAAATTCGCAAGTTGAGATCAATGGAGATTGCATCCATCAAAGTTCAATGGAAGAATCGACCCGTTGAAGAAGCCACTTGGGAGAAGGAGGCAGATATGCGAGAAAGATACCCACATCTGTTTACAGATTCAGGTACTCCTTTTCGCCCTTCTTTTCCTTCTTGTGATCGTTCGGGGACGAACGATGGGTAAATTGGTATCTATTGTAACGACCTGTTTAGTCATTTTGAGCAGCAGATTTTATTTTTGGAAAAACAGGCTGACGCGACGGACCCCACGACGGACCGTCATGGGCACGACGGACCGTCGCAGGGTCTCGTTTCAAAACAGTTAGAAAATCTGAAATTGGGTACAAAAAATCAACTCTCTGAACTTCGTAACGGAATGGCAGGACGGACCGTCACAAGTGTGACGGACCGTCACAGACTCTTCAGAGAAATTGAGTCTCTGAACTCTGTGACGGAGCAGCAGGACGGACCGTCGCAGGCGCGACGGGCCGTCACAGACTGCATAATCCCAGTCTGGGTCGGATTTGTTTATACGTTTTAAGGGATGTTTTTGACTATTCCTGCTTTAATTATAAAGTTAGTGGGTTAATGTTAACAAGTCTAATTACTTGGGGGTTAAAAGAGGTAACCTTAAGTTAATTAGTGGGTTATTATTGCCATCTTTTATTCATAATTATATACTAATTAGGGTAAAAGAAAGTGGATTTGAATAAAGAAAATTTGAAAGCACAAGAGAGGGAGAAACGAACGAACAGGGAGAGAAGAAGAACAAAGCTTTGGGAATTTGCTTGCTTGATCACTAGTCTTTGGTGGAGGTAGGTTATGGTTTCTCTTACGATATTCGTAGTAAACTCTTAATAGCGAATGATATGTATTGATAATATTGTAAACCCTGCTATGTGCTTAATTGTATGCTTGCATGAATGTAATTATATAATTGTGATTATATAAGCATGATGAAGTTATTAAATCCCAAATCTTGCAAAACCCTAATCTCTTTGTTAATGATGAGGCCTTGGTATAAAAGAAGGCGTGATGAACTAAAATAATGAGATTGATGATGCCTTGGTAAGAAAGAAGGCTTGATGAATTGATAGAAGGAGATTAGGGGATTGGGTGTCACGAACCGACACGTAGATTTAGGGGATCGGGTGTCATGAACCGACACATAGATTTAGGGGATCGGGTGTCACGAACCGACATGTAGATTTAGGGGATCGGGTGTCATGAATCGACACGTAGATTTAGGGGATCAGGTGTCACGAACCGAGACGTAGATTTAGGGGATCGGGTGTCATGAACCGACACGTAGATTTAGGGGATCGGGTGTCACGAACCGACACGTAGATTTAGGGGATCGGAGTGTCACGTACCGACATAAGAGGATTAATGAATATGAGGGAGCGGAGTGTCACGTACCGACACAAGAGAAATAAAGATAATGAATCTTGAGAGATGTTAATTACTCAATCTAATGAACATAATTCCCAAATGAGTATGGTATTGAGGCTTGAGTCCTCATGTGTGAACTTGACGGTAATTGTTAATGATATAGTACTTGTTGTTGCTACATGTTGAGTATCATAGTTGATTTTATGATATTACTTGGTATATATTTATTTCTATTTTGAGTTGGCCGATGATATCTACTCAGTACCCGTGTTTTGTACTGACCCCTACTTTTATGTTTTCTTCTTGTTTACTTGTGGAGTGCAGCAAACGTGCCGTCCTCTTCAATTCAACAGTAACTCTAGCCAGTCTTCATCACACCGGATCTTAAGGGTGAGCTAATTCTTCTAGCTTGGACTGGTTCTTCTTCCTCATGTCTTGATGCCTTGAAGTTCCGGCATGGACTAGCTTTTATTTGTTTTAGCTTCTTAGAATACTCTTAGTTTAGTAATTTGATCATAGATGTTCTTGTGGGGATGACTTCCAGATTTTGGAGATAATGATATGTTTTGAGTTATAGAAGTTGATTATTGATTTTATTAATGAGTTTAAGTCTTCCGCATTACTTTCTGTTGATATTATATTGAAAATGTTAAGGTTTAGATTGGTTGGTTCGCTCACATAGGAGGGTAAGTGTGGGTGCCAGTCGCGGCTCGGATTTGGGTCGTGACACACAAGTATAGAGCTAGCAAAAAAATGAGTACAAGTCCCAAAAGTGGACCACAAAAACAAGACTGTCTCAAAAAGCAAAAGACAAGTATAAATACAGAACGAGAAAATCCAGGACATTATGTGCTCACCCTCACCTCCTAGTATGAATGTAGCTGGCTCGAAATTAACGATGATAGCTAGTGCTCGGACATGCATCGCGAAAACAGATTCAGAGTGTATGTGTGCCAAAACGACAGGTACCATGTAAACATCATACGTCGATTGAGCAAAAAAAACAAAAGTAATATGAAATGTGAAAATCTAACATACTAATAAAAATAAGCATGACGGAACATCTAATATGTATATACACAACGTACTTACACACAAAGAGAAGGAAGTAGCTAAGCGAACCCGATCGGGCTTCCATAATTTGACGTGTAAGGTCGTGCAAAATATGAAAGTAAAACCCAAACAGGCTCCGATAAGCCCGACAAGGAGAAAGAAGGGATATTTTAAATGAAGGAAGAGGATCCCATGAAGTTCACAATATTACCACAAACTTTCGAGAGTTGTACAGAACTAATCCAAGTGTCCGAAGCTTACCCAAAGCTAATAGGGAAATAAGAACTTGAAACCAATTGCATTTCATATTCTTCAAGTCAATTGAACAGTCCAATTTATTCAAAGTAGAAAACTACAAAAGTTTTTTTTTCTCCAAACAGAATAAAACATATTCTTAGATTATCACGTAGAAATATTTTTCTTTTCAAATAGTCTTCTATCTCTAACATTTCAACACAATATTTTATCAAACAAAAATATACATCTCTCATTCTACAAATTAGTGAATTTTAAAGGCAACACTATTTGCCAACAAAAATTATTCAAAAAACATACGATTTGCAGAACTTTTTACAAAGACACACTAATAAATATCAAATTTGTTAGCATTTAGAAACTATTTTCCTCCTTAGATAAATAATAAGAAGGTTACATGGTGTAATTTTTAATCGGAATACCATCAATATTTCTAGTACATTCACACTTCGACCTTGCAGAACAATGCGCCGAATTATGGTGAAGTAATGCATTTATCTTCTACTTCCATGTTCAGATTCTCTCAATCAAAGAATACAAGAAATATCATTAGTATAATAATTCCTTAAGAATGTTGTTCATCTTGTATTCTTAAATACTTAGAACAAAACTTTAAAGAATTTGGTAAGACACAACAAAGTTTAAGAACATTTTCACAACTAGAAAATTAAAGCTAGTGGAGAAACTAGAATCAGAAACATATTAGAAAAAATGGACGAAATATTTTTTCTAAAGAAGAATTGTTGTCAATCTATGTTTAAAGAATCTTACTGATCCCAACAAACTTTGCAGAAACACAAAGTTACCAAAGTTTAATGAACTAGTCAAAAACAGTAGAACATAATTAATTCAGAAATATAAAATCTGTAACACATACTAAAATCTGGAAAAACAAAATGAAGATCAAGTCCATTGAATGCACATTATCTCCTTAAGAAAATTATTTCCCTTTAGTATTCGAGGTTTGATTTGGAGTATGTCCTCTCATGATAGAATGATCTCAATCACTAGCGTATTGATATCCAAAACGCTGGTGTTAGCGAGCCACTCAACGGCAGTAAAGTACACTTAGAATACTAGATTTAGTAGTAGTAAAAAAAGTCCAAAAATTTCGTTATTTTTAATGAGAGAAAATCCGTCTATTTATAAAAAACAGAGGGTTGTTTGAAAAAGTTCTTATTGTGCTTTACCGGAAAGGTCACAAACCTTAGAAAAAATCATAATCTTTAGGAAAGATCACAACTCTTTATAATTACACAATATTTTGTATTTTTAAATAATTATTATCATGATTTTAGAAGTGAGACTAGAACGAGTCTGAGGGTGTAGACAAATGGAAATTGATGTTGGACCTTATAATTTTCCAATTTTGATGCCTAAGTTATTGGTAGTAATGCCAGTTATGCTATATGATATATTAAAATATATTATTTTTTTGTTTGAAAATTAAAGGTAGAGATAGAGGAGATGGAGGATGAAAGGGGAGGAAATTGTGCAGAAAGTAGTAGTAGTACATTAATGCCAATGCCAATGAATAAAGAACAAGATCGGTTCCTTCCTATAGCTAATGTGGGTCGAATCATGAAGAAGGTAATCCCAGGAAATGGAAAGATCTCGAAAGATGCAAAAGAAACGGTTCAAGAGTGTGTATCAGAATTTATAAGCTTTGTTACTGGAGAAGCATCTGATAAATGTCAGCGTGAGAAGAGAAAGACAATCAATGGTGATGACATTATATGGGCCATTACAATTCTCGGGTTTGAAGATTACGTTCTCCCTCTTAAACAATATCTTAACAAATATAGAGAATTAGAAGGTGAAAAGCTAAATGTTCCAAAGCACGTTAACCAACAACAACAACAACATGCTGCAGATCAGATCAAGCCAAATTTTTCATACAACACTACTACTACTGTATATTCTCCTACACCCCTTCTTCCCCAAACTTCATTTGTTCCAACAGATCAACCTTTTCCTTTGCCTTTTTCCCCCAACTCACAATTACCTAAACAGGAACACCTTGATTCTATGGGACACTGGTAATAATAATATATATTATTTTTTCCCTTTAATTTTGTCATATCATGTAATGTAATTAATATATTATTGTACTAAACAAAAGATTATTATACAAATACGTATGACTTTCCACTTATTTCTTACTATATACCGTACCAAACATAGCATGGGGGTTGTTAAATTCTATTCGTCTAACATACTTCATTACACCTACTTTTACCATTACTTTTGTCTTGTTTTTCTCTAGTCTAGTTTCATATGTGTGTGTATACATATATACCACTCAACAAAACCCATCGATCTATGTATTATTTATTATAACTATATATAGTGATATGATTATCTTAAAAGGAATTTTTAAATTACTTCCTTCCCCTATATAGAATTAGCAATCCCATTTTTATCATGTAACTATATTAAGAAATGATAAGTAAAAGGTATTCTTTATTATTTGTTCCTTAACCTTCTTCAATAAATTACACATTCATTTAAGAATAACACTTACCTATCTTATTAGCGTTAATATAAGAAAATATGATTAATTTTTATCTTGACATCGAGTCTCTCTATTTATGATTCGCCGGCCCAAACATGATAAAGAACTTGCAATATTTTTGGTAGGATGATTAGGAGATCAAAGTTCCCATGTCTTGGGAGGATGGCTATTATATTCTAAAGTCCAATCATCTAGACCGGAAAGTTCCCCCAGAGAAGGCCATGGAGAGGCATGCTAACCACCTAATGGCTTCTGTACAAGTAGTTTGGTCTCCACTTCACTGTTCTTATGATTCGATATTACAAGATATCTTGAATTAGAAGAAGATGTTAAGTCTTTGAAATAAATTATGATTCGAACTCCAAAAAAAAAAGGGGTGGGGGAAGGACAAGTGTTTTATTAGCACTTAAATTAATAATTCAATAATGAATATTATAAATCTAGACAACGAGTAACTACTCCTTTAAGCGCAAATTAGGCATTGTAAGATCCAATCTACTCATGCAAAGTCTTAGTACCAAAGTGTGTAAAGTCTTTGGGTCAAGATGATGTGATTCCTTCAAACTAAAACATATAATCTTCGCCTTATATGATATAAGATCTTTGGCTCAGACGTTATAATGTCTTCTGCTCAAGCCATGTAAAGTCCTTGCCTTAGACGGTGTGAAGTCCTTGGCTCAGACGACATAATGCCATCATCTCAAGCCATGTAAAGTCTTTGCCTTTGGACGGTGTAAAATCCTTGGCTCAAACGACATGCTTTGCCTTAGACGATGTAAAATCCTTGGCTCAGACGACATTATGCCCTTGGCTCAAGCCATGTAAAGTCTTTATTTTAGACGGTGTAAAGTCTTTGACTCGAACAATACAATTTTTTGCCTCAAACCGTGTAAAGTCTTCCTCAAAGAAATGTAAAATTATCGGGTCAAACATGAGTGTGACACTTTTTGGCATCAAAGAAATCTTAAAATTGTCGGCACAAGCACGAAAGTAATACATTTTGGCTCAAAGAGTAATAAAAAAAGGAAAAAGAATATCATACTTACAAGCATAGTAGATTGAATTTTGATTAATAAGTTGCTTGAATTATGAGTCACCCATATTGGGCCTATTGATTTACTCAAGTTATTAACAAATTAGTTGTGGGAGCAATCATGTTTCAGTTACTAAGGTTAAAAAAAAAACATAAGCAAGAAGAAGCCAATTGAATCACACAAAATAAGAATAAAAATCGTTTCTCTGTCTCCCAATTTCTTTTCTCCTTCCTCAAAACAGAACCAAAACCAAAACCTCTCTGCAAAACTTCACTATCAATGGCGTAAAGGAATATCAAGAGACCCTCTTGCGTGTCCAAAATCTTCACACAATTGGGTCCATACCCACAAGAAAAAAAATACCCATTTACAGTGAAAGTAGAAGCATTAAAAAGTTGATTTGTGTATGAGGAATATATATAAAAAAAACGCTGGGAAAGAAGAAGCAAAATTGTCGATTCGCCAATGAGCAAAACGAGAAGTAGTATCACTCATCTTAGAAAACACAAGCGCCAACGTGATTTCATGGATACAATGTAGAAAAACATAAGAAAGAGTAAAAAGAAAAACTATATAGTCACTTTCACATAAGTACATTGTACTTGTTTAATTAAAAATAGATTTTCTTTTGAAGTCAACAAAAGTGGCTGATTTATTACTATTACTAGAAGTTCAACATTCAACTCCAATTTTTTTCTTTTTGAGTTTATATAATGTTGTAGGCGAAAAAAAAAAGAAAAAAAAAAGAAGAGGAGGTCATTCAAGAAGCTTACCACGATAATTAATAGTTGGTCTTCAAGATTTCTTGGAGAAACTGTGAATGGGTTTGACTACTAATTATTGAGTATTTGAAAAGGATATTCAAGTGTTAATCCAAAACAAAGTCCATATTTAGGGCCCGTTTGGATGGGCTTAATAAAAGTAACTTTAAAAAAGTATTTTTGAAAGTGCTGAAACTTATTTTTAAAATAAGCAGTTATGCGTTTGGATAAAAGTGCTGAAGTTATTATGCCAAACGTGAAAAGGGAAAAATAGAAGAAAGAGATGTTAGGGTTATATGGATAATTTGGATATTGTATAAAAATATTATGGGAAAAAACATAAAAATATGGTCAACTTAAAACAACTTATAAGCTAAAAAAAAAAAGCACCCCTACCCCAGCTTTTAACTTTTGGCTTAAAATAAGTTTTTTTAACTTAAAATAAGCTGTTTTGAGTATTGCCAAACAGTTAAATAAGTCAAAAACCAGCTTTTAAGTCAGTTTGACCAGCTTTTAAGCTGAGCCAAACAGGCTCTTAATAGGTCAAATATTTTGGGATAAGAAAATAATATTTTTTTTCAAAGTTTAATCTTACAAGGACTCAAATTCTCTCATTATATTTAAGGTATTTAAGTTATTAAATTTAATAGAATTTTAAATATAAAGGAATTTTTTTATTTATTGTTGTTATTATTATTATTATTATTTTAGTTTTTTGGACCATACATAAGAACAATAGTGTCACTTAAGGTTCAAATTGTTATTATTTATTATTTTTTTAATTTTATTTTATTTTATTTTATGCAAACTTGCTTTCTTTTTACGTTTAATGGTGTCTACTTGACAAACATGACAAGTCTTTACGTACGCCTCTATGTCATCTTCCATCTTTGACCAGAAATAAACATGAGACAGTAGAGCCAACATTCTTTCAACACCCGGATATGCAGCTCAAGCAGAATCATGTGCTTCCTTCATCAAGATTTTGCGCAATCCACCCTAATTTAGTACAACGATTATCTCCCTTTAAAATAGAGCAGTTCGTCCTTGATCCAATAAATTTCTCTATAATGTGAAGAACATCTTCACTAAGTAGTACTTCATGCCTAGTCTAAAAGAGAAATATTTTGACAAGACTTGAAGTAGAATGCATTTGTAAGCATTAAGATTTTATTGAGTGTAACGACCTGGTTAGTCGTTTTGATCAGCAGATTTTAATTCTGGAAAAACAGGCTGAGGCGATGGACCCCACGACGGACCTTCATGGGCACGACGGACCGTCGCAGGGTCTCGTTTCAAAACACTTAGAAAAACTGAAAATTGGGTACTGAAATCGACTCTCTGAACTGTCACGACCCAAATCTGGGCCGCGACTGGCACCCACACTTACCCTCCTATGTGAGCGAACCAACCAATCTAAACCTTAACATTTCAATGTAATATCAACATAAAGTAATGCGGAAGACTTAAACTCATTAATAAAATCAGTAACTATTATTATTCCCAAAATCTGGAAGTCATCATCACAAGAACATCTATGATCAAATTACTAGACTAAGAGTATTCTAAAAGCTAAAACAAGTAAAAGCTAGTCCATGCCGGAACTTCAAGGCATCAAGACATGAGGAAGAAGATCCAGTCCAAGCTAGAAGCATTAGCTCACCTTGAAGATCCGATGTGACGAAGACTGGCTAGAATTG